ATCGGCAGGGATTATTTTAGTACCCTGGAATTTCTAACCAGCATTTAGAGCAGGCCTTAGGGTTTGGTGATATCAACTACTTAGATGAAGTAGCTGTTTGTTTCCCCACTTTTGTCCATGTGTGAGATTGTCTATATGATGCGTGATCTTTTGTGGTTTTGGGTTAATTTTATACTCTATACAGACAACTGTGTTATTATCATTCCATTGATTGTATGATAGATTTGGGTTTTGATTTAATTTGTTCTTCTGTTGGCTTGATGGATTTGGGACTTCAGCTTCTTTCTCATTATTGCCATGGAGACCATTTATTCAGCTTCTTTCTGGGTTCAGTGAGTTAAGCAATGTCTCAATTTGGGAATCCCGTCTCATGCAAAGTAGTAAAGTAATAATTACTGTAGAGGTATATCAACCAGCCCCAGCTTATTAGCCTGTTGGTACCTCTCTCTCTCTCTCTCTCTCTCTCTCTGTGTCAAATCTTTCAGAGAAAATGAATTTTGAGGGCATTGGTTCTGTGCCTCATGTAAGGTGATTGGAGATGGATATTCCAATTTTAGGATTGGAGTTGTGCGTATAGGCATAATATTGTAAGGTGATTGTTTTAGATTTGTTATTATTTTAATATTTTTGTATATAACTTAATGTACATAATAATAATGATTTAACTTTTATAGAAACACAATAAATTATTTAACTTTATATTAAATATAAACATGTTTCCAAGTAAAAAATATATAAAAAATCAAAATTAGAAACCCAAGAGATAAAAAAAAAAAAGGCCAAGAAAATGAAGGTTGCCTAATTCGTCAATATCCAATAAAACGACGTCGTTAGCTTGGCTAGTATAAGTTTGAAGATGACTGGGTGGAGTAGAGAGCAACATCAGATTGGCATATTTGCCAAATATAAACCATGAGTGATGAAGACTTCCCTATACACAAACTTCATACCGACATGACTCATTCTGTAACTTAATATATTTTAACATCAGTATTCCCAGATAAACACGGAAAGTATTACAAAATGAAACAAGCAAGAATATTAGAAAAAGAAATTTAAAAAAAAAAAAGAAAAAGAAATTTCTTAATCATTAATTTTATTTAAAATTAATGAATGAATGTCAATGAGGTGCTGAGAATGCAGCTTTTTATGTTACATGACCTATGCTTTTTATATTAATAATATGTTTATTTTTTTTAATTATTAAAAGAGAATATGTAACATAAAAATTTTAAGTTCGAAATTAATTATCTTCTCCTAATTCTGTAAAAATTTATTTAATTTATTATATAATTGTAATTATAAAATTATTAAATTGAAGTAAACATTTTCTAAGAACTTGGCTGTTAAAATATCATAATCTGTAATTTTCGTCATTAAATATTTGAAAAATCACATTCGATTGAGAGTTATTTAAAATGAGTTTAATTACGAAAGCAATATAAATTTTAAATCATGATTAAATTGATCCCCAGAAAAAAATGTCTTCGTCACCGAAAAGAAAATGGGAAGCTGTCCAGAAATAAGAGAAATGTGTCTTTCAATTTGTAAATCATATATAAGAATTAAAAATGAATTAGATATAAGATATGTAAATCATAATCAATATGAGTAGTAGTGATAAAAGCATAGTGCTCATTGGTTTCTTGAATTAAGTAAACTTAGAATTGATTAATACATGTATAGGATCTATAATACTGCAAGAATTCTCCAAAAATCATCTCTGTACATTTCTACCTATACTAGAGAAGTGTTAATCTCATATACAGGGTCAAACAATATACATATACACACACGAATGTGTATACATATAGATAACAGTCAATGCATCAACACCCTTTAGCTTGAAAATACCAAAGAGAACGTAATTCCTGCCGTCTTGATTCTTGACCCCCAAGCAGCAGCCCCATTTTGTCTTCTGTAACAAACAAAAGAAAACCTAGCCCATCCATACACCTTATTCTTCAATAACATTTTATATCATGCCTTCAAAACCCCATCAAAATTTCAATCTAATAGTTTATTTTGTCTATTAATTACAACCATCATCCAAACATATCCTTCCTCTTCATTCAATGACAAACTAATGTATGCTGTTCCAAATATATATATATATATATATATATATATATATATCTAGTTTCTTTGAAGCCTGGCTTTGCTTGTATCAGAAGAAAATGGGTTAATAAAGGAGGAGCCATTGTCACCTTGAACAACCAAATTAGGGATCAAATCATGAGGTGAGCTTTCTGTGTTTCTATGGCAGCTTCCATGATCATAAGCAATGAAAGGTGGTGGATTATTATAAAAGTCAACCAAAGTTGCACTAGTAGTAATGTTTCTATCATCTTGAACATGCAGAAGTTCAGTAGTTAAGATTCTTCTTTTCACTGATCCTGATTCGAAATTATTAATTACCAAATCTTTAATAACGGACGTTGTTGAACTTGAACCACAATGTCTAGGCTGTGTTTGGTAGAAAACTTTTGAGAGAACCAACTCACCATCTTTTTCTTCTTCATTGTTGCCAAGATGGTATTGGTGCATTACCCAATTTGTCTTCTCCGGCTTTCGTTGCCGGCCATAATTGGTGTAGAGGACTAAAATCTTTTTGAAACCCTTTATGACTCCATCAACCAAAACTGGCCTCGTCTTCCCGGTTTTATGCCATCTTGTTTCGCTTCCATCTTCCTCATTGTTGTGTACCTTTCTTCGTTTCCTTGTTCCCGTTGTGTATGCTTTTGAAGGTCGGTGGAAGAAGTGTCGGATTTGTCCATCTTTGCTTACTCCTGCATTCGATTATAATATGATCAAGTGTTAATTACTAATTATTTCAAAAGCTTAAAATAATTAAAAAAGTTCATTTTAATATGATATCATATAATATAAAATATAAAAAAAATTATTATACAATACAAAGACTAGTCTTTTCTATTTTATAATCTCAATAATACAAATGATAATTCCCAAGTGAAAAATATTTTACTGAAAGTATTGTAGTCTTTTCTAGTTTCTTAAACTATTTATAATATGTGAATTGAGTGTAAATAAATTAAACCTAAAATGAGATGTATTTTACACAATCGTAGACTCCCATAGCCCTCCTAACACACCAATTAGCATTTTCAATTACATTAAGAGATTTACTTATATAACAATTAATTGAGTTGGTAATTAAAAAATTTTCAAAAAACAAAATTATTAAGAGATAAATTGTAATTTATCTAAGAGAATGAAGGACACCCATTTGTCATTTCTTTTAAGGAGTAAGAAATTATTTATTAGATGATATATAATTCATATACTCACCATCACCATCATAGAGGAACTGAAGAAACATTTATAATAATTTCTTTATGTTTCTTATTAGAGCCGTGTCAAATCAATAGATATGCAGCTTAAGGAAGAGAATATCAGTTCACACAATGATTTAATTAAGAAGAAAGGTATATATTCACACCTATATATAATTAACAACATAAACTACATATTATATTGTCTAATTCAAAATCTAATTCAAGGTTTTTTAATAACCAAAACAATTCCAAAGAATTTTATATATATACACGTTTAAGTTTGAATTTTACCAGCCGCAAACACTTACATGATATCAATATATAAGCAAATTCCCATTAATATAACGGGGTGCAATTGATAATGGTATAAGTATATTGAGCATAAAGTGTATAGATATATAATATACATATGTAAATATATACCTGGTAGCCTCCCTGGATGAGTATAGCAAATTCCATTTTCTCCTTTTAATGTAGGAATAAATTCATCAATTAAAGGATGAAGTTTTCGCACATCCGATAAAACCTTGGCCTCTAAATGCTCCAGAATTTCTTGATCCGTCGGATCGAATTTCACTCCAGCCGGCAGCCCAGGCAAATCACTAATACCACCCTAATTATTCATATAATCACCTTAATTAATTATATAATTTAAATAAAATCAAACAAAAACCAATTTGAAGTTTTTAAGTTAGCTGCTAAATATTTACAGTACTACTTATTAGATCTACCCAAATACCTGTAAAATAGTTATATATATTGACGAAGTCAAGAACAAACTCAGTTATAATATTATAAAATCTAACTTGCTCCAAGAGAATATGTGTACATATATGTGTGTGTGTGTGTGTGTATATATATATATATATACCTGATCATCTTGATAATGAATGATAAAGCCACATGAAGGGCAGCTAATTGTTCTGATTTGTTGTTGTATTTTGGAATTGGATGAAATTGGTGGATCATGATCGTGGTCGTCATCCTCATCATCTGTATTATTGCACCATGTCATGTCTGATCTTTTGTTTTTTTGTCCATGAATCCACAACTCGTCAATCTTGGACTCCACTTCTGATATTCCTCCACGAAAAATCATACACAGATTATTAGATTCACACCAGAAAGAAAACCAAGAGAAGAGAAAAAAAAAAAAACCCTAAAAGAAAATTACAGAAGGAGAAAAAGAAAAAGTTGAAGCAAGAATTTTTCGATTTTAAATCATGTTTTTATGTTATACCCACTTCTTTTGTTGATTTTGGCAAGTTTTCTTCCACTATAATCTTCTTCTTTCTTCTTTTAACTTATCTTCATTGACTGCATATACTTCCAAGTTCACTTCTCATATAAATATAGAGAGAGAAACAGAGAGAGAGAGAGAGAGAGAGCTTAAAGGAAAGATGATATAAAAGGAGGGCTATGGAGATACAGAAAAATGTAATTTTTTTTTAATTATAAAATTAAAATATCTAAGTTCCTTGGACGTCAAGTTTGGTTATGCTAATCTATACACGATTCTATTATACAATAAATGCACTCTTCTTCTTCTATTTGACTGTTATAATAATTAATAGCTTAATAAGGAAATATAATCAACAAATTACTTAAATTAACCTTCTTGTTAACTAAATTTAATGAAGAAAAATTTTAAAAAGGAAACTAATGGAAGAAGAAGATAGAGTGGAGATGTGGCAAACCCGATTCTCGCAGGACATTCTACCTTTTTACAGATGGAGATGGAAAGAGAAGAGAGAGGCCTTTAGCTCTACTGTCAAATTAAGTACTGAAGTGTTCTTAAAGCTATCAACACATATTCTTGCAAACAACACATGCATTCATTTATACACACACATATATATATATATATCTCGTATCTTGCGTATGCATATATATACACACAGACACACACACGGACATGTAAACTAAGATATATTAACATTACACCAACTTCTTGTGGCTATTAAACCCTTTTCTTCACGTAGACTTCTCATGAGAAACAAGGAAATTAACTCCTCTTGTAGGTGAAGGTCCTTGTTTGAATTTACATGGACTTTTCTTTTCTTTTTTGTTTTTTTTTTATAAAAAACTTCTTTTATACTTCAAATATAAACGTATATATATATATATATTTTATATTTGGAAATATAATTATATGGATTTATATTGGGATAGAGAATTTGGTACATTAGAATACTTTTTTATACGTATTAGATACGTGTTTGGGGTTGGCTATTTCTTTACTAGGAAGTTACTAAAGTATATTTAGCAATATAAATATAAATATATATATATATATATATATAGTAGAGTATTTGGCAAGATTTAGAAATGCTAAAAGTTTAAAAAATATTTTTGCCTAAGAAATTTCATAGCACAATTTCTTTTAGCTTTTAAGTACCTATTTTTTAAAAAAGTTATTTGACAATTATTTTGGACCCAAAAATAGAAAATGATAACCCAACCTCTTTAAATTTACAAATATACTATTTTAGTTTTTCCTCTAAAATTTCCAATTAGTGACAAAATATTTGAGAGTCAATGTATAATTTAAGTTTATATTAAAACAATTATATAAAAATATATTTCAATATACAACTTTAGTTTTTTATATAATCAACACATTATATATTATATCAAAAATAATAAAACATCTTAAATTAAAATTTAACTATAGAAGTTAGAATTTTCATGTAAAAACTCACAATTAACTAAATAATGATATTGAAATTTATTAATTTTTCAGAAGTAATTTAGAATTTGAGGTTACATTATTTATACAGTTTAATTGAAATACCAAATAGGGCTACGAGTGTCCATTGAAAAACATAAAATAAAAATATAAATCGAAAACTTATGTGATCAACTTCCGCTGTGTAACTGGAAAAAACGGGAGGTAACCTTTTTGCTAATTTTCTTTCTGTTCAGGATCCGAATCTTGATCGTTCTGATTTGAAATAGTTAATAATAAGGGGGTAAGTTACACTAGCTCAGTAAGAATATCAACACTTTACCACTAATATAGAAAAATCGTAAAATAACCAATGAAACTTATTTTTCTTTTTTTAAGTAAATTCGTTTAACTTAAAAACATTTATCACTCACTCACTTTTAAGTTCTCAGAATACCATTTATGAAGGAAAAAAACTAGAATAGTAATTCACGTCATATATTTTAAAAGCCCAACAGTAATCAACTTTTACCTTTTTACTTACTTACCGGTGCCGCTTGGGGTCCGTAAGGGTTCCCACTACACATGAACCAAGTATCAATTCTATTAATCAATCTGCCGTCCCCATACCCCGTCTGGTAATGGGCACTAACACACCACCGCTTCAATACCACGTCTGGTAATAAGTGTAATCAAACAATTCCCAACCTTCCAGTATGGGATTCCTCAGCCTCGTCCGATTAAGGATAATGTCTATGGCAAAGTTTACAATATGTACCAGGCCTATACACGCTTTCCAATGACACCCGGTAAGCCCTTTTAATTTTTAGCACGTTGCATACACAAACCAGTTCTTATTACTATTTAGCCACCAAATACATGCAACACTCACATTTCAAAATTACAGAACAATAAGATGATCCTTTAATAGACAATATAAATTAATACTCA